CGGGGATGGGTGGGCGGCGCGGAGGGACGCGGGGCTCGGGGCAGGCGGGAAGGGGGGCGTTAGGCGGCGGGTCAGCGGCCGGCGCCGGGGGGGGGAGTGAGGCCGTACATCAAAGTTTCTGCTTTTGGTAAATCAAAGTTTCTCTGTTACCGCGGGAAGGGCTGCGAGGTGGAAGGGGAAGGGCTGCGCCCCGGCGGCTCCCGCTGGCGTCTGCCTCTTGGTGAACTTCTCGCGCTCCCGAATTGAACGTTTTGGCACTTTTTCGTGTTTCTTCAGCAGGGGCCCTTCCCGCCTCCGGGGAGGAGGTGTCCGTGTGACAGGCGGTGTTAGGCAGAGAGCGAGGAGAGGGGAGCGGGGCCAGCCCGGCGGCCGGGACGGGCAGCGGTGCCCCCCGCAGCTCCTCGGCGAGGGCAACAGCGCCTTCATACAGCAACGCTACCAGGAATAAATACTGTTACAGATGCTGGCCGGTGATGTCATTTTCCTGAAGGCCGTTGGGGAAGGGTGGCGAGGTCCTGAAGGGCGGAGGAGGTGGGAGGGAGGCGGCGGGCATGGCTTACCTGCCGCGGGCCCGCGCCTGCCTCGCCTTTCCCGTGAGCGACGGATAAAACGGGGGGGGGGGAAGGCCATTTACTGGCCGTAAGCCTGACTGAAGATCCGTATCCATGCGTGGACTCAACGCCGGAGTCGTTTAGGCCTCGGTGCTTTGCTCACTTTAACGGCAAAACAGCTGAAGGAGAGGGAGGCCGGAGCGGTTTGCCTGGGCTGCGCTGGTGCCCTGTGGCTGTGGGGAGGCCGTGGCGTGGCATGGCATGGCGGGAGGGTGGCCTGCCTCCACGCCAGGGTGTTGCTGGCACCGGCAGTTAACGCTGTCCCACGTTGGTACCCAGGCAGTTCCCGCTCAGGACCCCATTTTGCTGGATCGATGGATGCGCAGGCACAACCGAGCGGTGGTCTTTGGCAGGTGAAGTGGCTGTAGCTAATTAGGTTTGCTGTTAATGACCAGAAGAAAGCTTGGGAGATAGAATTAGGAGAGCCGTGAATATGCGATTCCATCAATTGCAACTTTAATTGTAGAATTCACTGCAGGTTGAATGTGAAAATAGTAAATAATAGTAGAGAAGCGGTTCCATTTTTTAGATACACCAGTAGATTGTTCCCCGCTTCCATCTCTTAAAAAAATCCCCGAGATTTCTCTGATTGAAGAAAATTTCCTTGCTTTTTAGTAGTGGTTCCTTCTTATTTATTGAACTTTTCCCACCAGAAAAGAGTTATCAGGAAGGCACATAAAATCTTTTTGACAGGGGCTTGTTAATTCATCCAAACATTGTATATAAAGTTCTGTTTCTTTAAAAGTAAGCTGTTAGGAAATGTAGCAGCAAAACCTGTGAGGGATATGAATATTTCTGTAAAAGCCTGGGCCTTTTAAACAAAAGCTTGTCAGTTTACCAGGTGGAGGCAGAAAGAATTTCTTCTGTGTTCTTTTATATCTGTTGCTCTTCAAACAACTAGGGATGGCTACGAAAGTTTATCCTACAGTCAAAGGAAAGAGAGACAGGGGAGGGGGGGGGAAAATCACTGAAAGATGCTGATATCAGTGACCCCAGAGCAATGCAAAATCACATGAGTTGTAATGGATTTACACTAGCGTGATGTTAACGTATGGCTCCCAGGGCATTTATTGACATATGTAGCATTGATAATGATAGTTACACAGAGATTGTAAACTGGGGTATGACGAATGTGTTTTACCTCATAGATACAGAGTATCATTTAAGATCACTACAGGGACTCCCTACAAGCTCTACTAATGCACCATTTGTGCTATGAAAATAAAAGGCTATTTTTTCTTACCTCTGGGAAATAAATACATTACATCGCTTCTCGTCAAAACATGCAGACTTTTTGTGTAGTATATGTGCCCATTTGCTTCCAACCTCTACACTTTTTTTACTGTTCTTGAACTATGTAAAATAGTTGAGGTTGTTTCAAAGGTGAGAGCTGCTGTGTGGAAATACGTTCTGTCTTTTTCCTTTGTTATGAAAGACCAGCTGCTGTGGCACACATGAAATAAGATGTGGAATATCAGTCTCTCTTCTGTCTCTCCCGGTGATAGCAAATAGTTGAGTTTTGACTGGCCTGACTGAGTCTAGATTCCCATTATTAACGAAAAAGTGCATCAAAGTCTCCAGTTCTCCTCTTCCTGTACTGACTTTGCAGTTGGGTGGCTGGCACTGTAAAACAGCTTTTCTCAGGAAACAAATCTGATTTGGAGACACAAAGGGCACAGATTTTCATGTGAGATGGGGCACTATTTTCATACAGCCACTTCCCTAAGAGTAATTGCATTTTGAATACTAGAGACAGAAGGCTATGCCAACTGGGACTCCACTAGCTCTGGGCTGGCACTGTGGTTTGTGTGTGTGCTTCGCTGTTGTCCTGCCAGAGCTGGCTGCTAGGTGCTGTGGAAATCCTGAAGATATTCCAGCTACTGGCTGCTGATAGCTAGGTATGTGGCATAGGACTTTTTTTCACAGGCAATTTAGAGAAACAGTTTTTGTCAGAATAGCAAGACTACAGAAGAAGTAGTATTGACTGAGTTTTCAGCTCTTCAGAAATATTCTAGTTTGGTCTTAAATCAGCTGCTCTAAGGAACAGCTGTTAATTGATTTGCTCCTTGTATTGCCTTTACTGCTTCATCCTACGCAATCTCCTTGGGAGCAGCCAGCTCAGTGATGAGTGAATTCCATAGTTTACCCAAAACTTTTTTTAGCTGTTCTTTAAGATCCTTCAGCCCCTTTATCTATAGTGTCTACACTTAGTATGACCTTGTTGCGTTACATGTTAATGCTAGTGATAAACCAGAGTATCCTTCAAAGCTAGAGGAGTTGCAGCACTGGAAGTTGAACAGGCGTAGCAGTTTTGTTAGAAGAAGAGCAAGGAGATCTTAGTGAAAAGAGGATGTGAGAAGGGCAGGGCCAGGAAAGATATAAATGTATAAATGCTTGCACAATGCTGAGAATAGAGGGAAGTCAGAAGAACTGCTAGATAAAAGTGCCAGTGCCTTCATGCAGAGGCCATCAACACCGCTGCAGCTTATTGACATGGATTATGCAAAACCTTGCTGTAAGCACCAATACTTTTACTGTACCTCTCACTATGACAAATCTCATTTCCCTTTTTCATTTCCCTCCTTCTCCCTGTCCTGATCCCCATCTTGGTTCCTCTTTGTTATTCTCAGTTATGCAGGCTTATGGTATGCACCTCTTGCCAGACTTGCCGTTGCTTCTTACATCCCTTCAATCCCCATTGACACTTCATTTGGCCAAGGCCCTGTCTTCTGTCTCTTCTTTGCCTTTACAATTGATGGGTGAGCACTCTGCGCTCTGGTTCTTTTTAATTCCTGGTAGTCTGTTTTCCGTCTTCTTCACTTGACCGAGGCTGCTGTCCTCAAAATGGCTAACTGAATTTCCTCTCCAACATCATTGGCAGCCTGTTGAGTAAATCATGGGGT